CTTTCTAGATCAGACATGTCAACCATAGCATTGGGAAGAAAGAAAAAAAAAATTCAAAATTTTATTGGGAACATTTTTTGAAATACTCAGAGGGTAAAAAGAGATCAAAGAGCAAGATTTCTATAGGTTTAGACAAATGTATATATATATATATATATGACTTGCAATAAATATTGTAATTAATAAAAATATACGAATCAATAAATACTAAATTGCTGTTTCTAACCTCAGCTTCAATGAAAGTGAAATGCATGCTGATGTGATTGACATTGTCTTGCTCAACAAACTTGTTGCCTGTGATCTTTTGTATTATCTGTCTAAACACTTTTCTTTCAATTCTTTGTTGACCCTACATTTCAAACAAAAAATATTGTTTTATAACTTTACCATTCTACTCTGCATGCATCTTATATATTGTACCAAAGTTTTCCTCAAAACTAAATAAGTATTTTAATCTCCTGTATATGGAAAAACCTATAAATATTTTGTTTACAGTTGTTTTTTATTTTTTTCTCTTTTACTTTTCATTTCAACTGTTCTTTTCCTTGCATATTTTTACCTAATTAAGATAACATAAATATTTAGGATGTGATATGGCTTATAACTTTAAATTATTAATTTTTTAACCACTATGTTTTTTAATACTTGGCTGTAAAGCAATGTTCTAACAAAATTTTATAAATTTAAATTTAATCGCATGGTGTGAGAAAAAAAGGAATAATTTAAAATCTCTTATAAATTAAAATGTACCTTTGTTTGTTTCTTTTAGGGCTCTCTTGGCCGAGCTTTTGGGAAGAAAGTACGAGATGACTTAAAAATGAATTTGGACACAACTAAAATCTCAGCTCCAATTCCGATTCAGCATTCTAGTCTTTCATCATTGGATAATAATTCAGAGCTTTTAAGGAAAGGATTCTGTGTCAAAGATCCCCAGAAAGATGTTTACAACAGTAAGCCTCTTAAAAATCCTCAAATTAATGGGCTGGTGGCACAAGATATGCGGAGGCTGTGTTTAACAAAGTCAGACCAGACATTGCACAAAAGTACAGACTACAATGGTTCTGATGCCAAAAATCCAAAGACTAATTTGGATAAATCTTGTCAGGATATTCTTCTAGAAGGAGTCAAGATTCTTCAGGATGGAGTGGACAGCAATGAAATGTCCTCAATTGGATCGTCACAGGAAACTCTTACTGATCAACCATCTAAATTGGAAAGAAACAACAATTTGCAAAAAAATGTGGCTGGCGTTCATACACAGCTTCCATATCAATCTTTACCAGAAATACCCCAAAAATCCCAGAGCAGTCCAATTATTTCACCACATGTTGCCAGCTTGCTGTTGTCCACAATACCAAATAAGTCCACAATATCTCCAGCATTAAATACAAAAAGTACTAGCACTAAGCTGTTCTCAAGGCACAGCAGCTGGCTAGAAGAAGACAACTGTCCACAGAAGAAAAAATCGCTGCTGAAGCTCTCCAGTGACAAATCTCAGAGACACAGCAGCAGCAGTTTGGTAGAGAGCCTGTTACGGCTTGATCACAAGTCTGAGGTTAAGAAAAGCACAACTCCTGAAACAAACAATAGACAAAACTCAGTTGGACTAAAACAAAATATTCTTCCCCAAACAACTTCTGTATAAGCCAGCATTTCTTGTAAAGCACTTCCATTCGTACATATGCCAGTGTCACAGCAGTCCATGATAGTTTTTTTGTTTTTTTCTCATTGATGATTGAAAATTCATAAATTTAACATCAAAATATTTTAAAATATTGCATTTCTACTAGGCTAAGTTTCTGTTTTTTGACTCTTTTGTTGAAATGAAAGTAATCCAACATTCAAATTACCTTATGACAGTAAACTGATTATTTGCTTGTTGATTATTTTTTTTTAAATACAAATCGGCATTAGTAAAGTCAGAGCTGAAACTTGTAAATATTACTGTACAGAAAGAATTATCACACCTACTTTTTTGTGAGATGTTTGCTTGAAGGATCAGCAAATTATTTTGTGAATGTAAAATCCACATGTAAATATTGTACATTTAAATAATGGTGCTTTTACAAAATTTATTTATAAATAAATATATATATATATTGGTATACACACACATTTACATTTGCTGTTTTTTTTAAATATCATTTTGAAATGTTCAGAAATCCTGATATTAATCTTTTTTTAACTTGCGTCCAATAATTTTACATATTTCTTTGCATAACAAGAAGATTAGACTGAGACTAAATTTTTACATGGTGGGATATTCAGCATTATAATTTCATTACTAATCTATAATGTTGTCAATTATTGTTTTAAACAAAATTTTAAATAAGTTTCTTTATAAAAAAATATTTCCCCATGCAATTATAATTCATCCCATTTTTTTATAGTAATAATGGTTATTACTTCAATTCTGAGGATTGAAGAAGTACTAATGGCAATTTCTTCAATTCTGAGGATAAGGATGAGGATGATCTATAGATAACTCTTTAGTTTTTTTATATGTATATTTTTTAGAAAGTTGTAGTTTTTACTCAGAAGGTTGAATTTTTAAAAGCAAAGAAATAATGTTTCAGATAATTAGGCTTTCTGTAATCAGCTTGTATTTTGTATATAGTTTGTTACATTCATGTACACTCGTATATATATATATGTCATATGAAAATGTAACACTGTAATATATAGAGGTCTATGCTTGCTATGGATGGTCATAAATTTGACATTCTAAGAAATGCTAAGGCTTTGAAATAAACTATGTTTAGTACCAGAGGACCTGTTTGTGAGTGATGTAGTATAGTGTTTTGAAGAAAATTAATAAAAGTAGCAAATGTAGATACCAACCTTTTAAAAGAATTGAAAATGTGATACTTTTGTACAATACATTTTATATTTTTAAGTTAACTTGCACATAATTATTTTCAGAATTGTCAAAATAAATATATTTTTAGGTTGTTTTCATCAGAAAATTTCCCTTTATGTTAAACAGAAAGCTCCCACAACTAAGATGATAAAGAAAAAAACAACAACATTCTATTGGCTTATAAGGTTTTGTGTGTGTTCCCTTTCAAATACAGAATATAATTATAATATAATATAATGTATATGCATCATGTTTAATAACACCAGTCAATGCATTTAAAAGTTACTATAATTCTTGTGTGCATGTCCGATATTAAATATGTATCCCAATGCAGAATGTTCTTTTTTTTTTCTCTAAGTTGTATTTTTCTACTTGGTTTGTTTGTTCACCATTACCTATCCCATAGTCTCCTGGACTGTTGGGGCACTGTATGTGATCTGTCAAGTCTTTCTCCATTCCTGTCTTTTGCTTTGACTAGACTCTCTTTCCATGACAGGCCCATCTATTTTGAATGCTAACTTCCCAACTCTTTCTGTCTTTTTTTTTTCCTGGTTCTGTTCCCTGACAAAAGGCCCTGTGAGCCCTGGGTACCTTTTGATATAGCCATAAAAATTTTGTTTGCATTTTTTACAGTGGTCAGAAAGTCATCATGGAGCTGAATATTCATTGTGATACTGTTTTAAATCTTATTTGTGATGAGGTCTTTGTTTGTTTGTTATTTTATTGTTTTACACAATTATCTCTGATTGAGGAAAAAGTGCAAATTGTTCCTTCAAAATTGTGGCATACATTTTTTTCTTTTTTGAAACTATTTTAGCCCAGTGAGATACACAACCCACAATGCACCACACACAATATCTGGCAAGCTCTTTCCGGTTTTCTTTTAAGATAATTTGTGTTCATCTTGTGGAAATAAACATTAGGTCTCAAGGTAGGAGATTTAAATATTAGAACCATAGGTATAAAACTTCCTTTTTCTTCTTTGTTTTAATTTATATGCTTGAGCATTCAGACAAGTAGTCCTATATCTACAATACACGGCATATTGGTTTCCAGATCTGGCAGCTATTTATATAGGTTTTGTTCTGCAGGCAAGTATTTAGGCCAGTGTCTCTGGCTTCTTGCTAGAGTATGCAGTTTTGAAAGACATGGTTGGCATTCTCTGATGATGCTCACCAAGGATAAATCTCACTAGTCCCTATTTTAGCTTTTAAAACTTCTTGTCTCATTCTGTTGTTTACGACTCTTGAGACAAAACATATTTTGGTCAAGTCAGCACAGCTTGTAATAGGCATCACTTCTCTTGAACTTTGGTAGAGAGCTGTTCCATTTCTTATTTATTCTACTCTATTTGTTGTTCCATTTCTTCTGGGTATAGAGGGAATTTTTTTTATTTAGTCTGCTCTCCACTGGAGAAGTTTCCATGCAGTTGTTGTTGAGGTAACTTCCTTTTGAAACTGCATTGAGAGATTGACTAAATGAAAAATCTCGTACAGATCATGCAGTTGTTTTATTATTTTGTAGTCCTAAAGTCATTCAATGTCTCATGAAGTCTACCAGGTTATTGCTTAGCAGTGAGCAAACAAAATAATGGTGGCATAATTATACCTTATCTTCTTATTTTACAATTTTAATTTAAAAAAGATAATTCTCCTAAGTGTATCTATATTTTAATCTAGTAAAGTTCCCCTTTCAGACCTTGTGATCTATGGGGCAGAGGATGTAAAGGTCATCTGTTTATGTGGTAAATGAGGGTGTCATCTGGCCAGCACAACAACCAACAACGTTTACCTTTCCCTAACTAATACTAATGTCAGGTACCCATTAGAGTCGGATGAACTCAGAGGTACCCTTAAGATCCGGAAAGTAAAAAATCCCTGTCTATACATAGATTCGAACCAGGGACTCCCAGCCTTTCCAAGTACTTTACCACTCAGCCACCGCTCCTTCTGTTAATCTAGTCATACATGTTAGAGACGCAAAGACATTGGTTTACAGACTAATTCAGTCAACCTGTTCCATGCTCTGAAGCGCTTGAGAAGATGGAGCACTAGTATGAATTAGTCCTAGGATATGGAATAAAAAAATGTGCCTAACTTTATATATGATTATGAAAAATATAGCAAAAAAATAAAATAAAATGGCTTTTAAAAACATTTTTATTTCAGATCTTTCATGCTATTTGTACAAACTAAAAAGACACTAAAATAATAAATCACTGCAATGGTTTATACAAGTGTGCTTCTTGATGAGATAACTTGATGAATCGTGCACTTTTAAGTGATTGAGACCAATATCACATCCAAATAGTGAGATTTATTTAGCAAAGGTTCACAATGTCATATAATGATCAAACTTTTATTCAGTAAACATAGTCAATATCACTTTAATTATCATGAAGGAGACTAGACAGCAACTGTTCTAAAAATTTGTGGAATATTCTTTTGAAAAAAAAGTATAGGAACTTCTGTCTTCTCATGTTGAAGGATTCAGATACTAATGTAGATAATTAATTAAGGCATTTTCTGTAATCCCAGTAGCTTGAATCTTGATAAAATTAAATCGAAAATCATATCTACATTATTACCTTAGATGAAAGGCTTTTAACAAGGGAGACAACCAATAAAGAGACCTATTTGACCAATGTTTTGACATTGTAATGTAAATAGCTCTATCACAAAGTATCACACTGGTAATAAATACATAAATCTTTTTAAACAAATACAATCTCAACATGATTGTAATAATGTTTTAACACATTCAATGCTAACATACTCTGAACTATTCATGAATTGAAAGAACCAGCATGAACACAGGTTAGATAATCTTCTCTAGTCTTAGTAAGCAAAGACTTAATCCTCTTAGCATTTCGTAAAATAATGCAGTCTCTCTCTTATCTGTACAGGTTTGAAAAATTTGAAGGCCACAAGAGAATTTAGTACAGAGCAAGATAAGATCTATAATTTTATGTTATATTCTTAAACTTTTTTTTTCATTGAGTTTGCATTTCTTCAATGCTATAGTATGGCCATTGTGCTATGGTCCAATCTTTTTTTTTTAGGCAGAAGGTTTCCATGCTGCCTTTGAGTACTCAGCAAATACAAATAAGTACAAGTCAGGATTAAAAAACAAACCTCCTTAATAGGAAGTTAAGGAGTATTTGCTACTAAGTTTCACATCCAACCGCATAAACTAAAGATTGACTCAATTTTTAAAAAAAATGTTCTTTGAATTAATAAATTCAAAATGGTGACCTCCAAATCTTCAAAGAGAAATCTGAAGCACTTTCTCAAGAACCTTTGCCTATTTATGATCTAGTTACTGAGTTCCTTCATTTAGGATTCTTTTCTAACTATTGGCCTAAATTTAGTTTTGTCTTATTGAATCTTTATGAACTCTGCAGTCTAGTTTAAACATTTTTTTTTTTTCAAAACAAAAGTTTTGAAAATTTGGGTATGTTTTATGATCAATACAGTGCAATAAAAATAAATACTTAAAAGTGAAATTTTGATTTTGTTCATGTTGAACACAAGGTCAAGTGTTTGCTTTGTAAGAAGAAGACTCCTTTATATAAATATGAGTTGGGTTTGCTGTTCCATATTAAATGAATGTTTTCTTTCACAACAATATCAAACTTTTTAAAAATTCCATTTCCCTTACACTTTCAAGAATTTTCTTTCTCTAAACATTTAAGGCGAATAGAATTGTTATTCATACTTAAAATAGAATTTATATGCAGTAGATCATTAAAACAAAACAATGTTTAATTTTTAGATTATAAAATCAATTGGTATAAATCTGATTTTCTTTGAAGAGGACTTAGATAAAATTTAAAGTAAAACCTTCAATTCATTTGAAAGTAAAACCTCAGATTGAATTAAATTTAAAAAAAAAAAGGAAGAAGAAACATTGCGAAGGTCCATTAAGTAATTATAAATAAATACATATAATAATATTGTTATATAAATACATATACAATTTGAACAATAATTTTTTTAAAAAAAATGGAATGTCTATAATTAAAAGCAATAAATAAACTAGACATCGAACAATATGGACGGCAAAATGAAAATATGCTGGCTTGTAAAATAAATATGCTTTCAAATCACGTGTTTAAAAATTCTAAGTAAATGACTTTTCATATTGTAACAAAAATCAGCTCCTTGTTTTTGTTAAAAAAAAAACAAACTCAAATATTTACTTTGAATCTTACTTACGTATCAAAGCAGAAATGGCAAAAGCGAAAAATCGAAATACCAAGTAAGAACAGTAAATATAGTTATCAAAAAGCTGAAATTTTGTCACAAAATATTTCCATGTTTAAAAAAGAAACATTTGTACAATATTTATAAATATATTTTTTTTGTAAATGTTGAGTAAGTAAAATTAAAAAATAAATAAATAAAAGATGAAAATTTTGAATGGACGGCTGCATATAGCATGAAAAACTCAAGCTAATTTTTTGTTGAAATTATAAATAAAATGTACACACAAATATATAAGAGTTTAAATATTTTTATGTACAGGTACTGGAATGTTTAGTATGCAATTTATTTATGCTTCTGGAATGTGAAGTCATAATAATTATACTCAAAAACAAAAACATCATGAGATACAATTAACAAACACAAAGTCACAACTTGTTTGACTTACATCACTCTCAGCATTTACACTCACACACACAAATAGAATGCAAAATGCCAATAGCATAAATACAGGCATATAAAGATTAAAGACATTTTAAAATGTTACTATCACAGAAATAGCTTTTTTTTTACATTTGTACACATAAAATATTCTGCAGATTATTAAAAATTTTAGTGATCTTAAATATTTAACTTTAACATAAGATGGTCAAGCTGTAATGTGCACAGCTATGAAACTGAAAATCCCAAAACTGATTTGTTAAATAGTTGGGCATTTCAGGAGGGGAACAAGATTACATGCTTAAGTGTTTGTAACTGTATCATTGCATTTAGTCATCTGATTAACAGAAGCCAGTTTTGGAATTCCGGCTGATGTATATAGATATTGTATTGGTGCATAAGTTGGGCAGAAGTACACTTAAATTCATTTGTTTTTTTTAACAGATTTTTTATTTTATGCTTGTTTTGCATGTTTTGGAAGTTCCTTCAGAATTAAAGATTATTACATCCTAGCCAAAATCTGCCACATAACATCAAGGATAGGGATGGGCAGAGTCTAAACCCAGGACCATTTAGATGGCAGTCCAGGGTCATAGGCCTGCCACATGAACAAGGCAGCCACCCTATCAAGATATGGTAGGAGACTATAATTTCAGCTTGTAGTGCCCCACATCTTTATGCATGAAGCCAGACTTTACAACAAAAAAAATGGTCTTAAGAGAGACTTTTATTCAACAAAAATCTCAAAGAAAATTTAAAACCTTCATTTACTGCAAAACTTTAAATAATTTTAATTTATACAAATATATTTATTGTCAACACAATTTACTTCTTGGCTTTACTGGCTTGTGTTCATTATATAATAATTATAACAAATTTATAAGTTTTTTAAAGGAAAAAGAGCTAATTACAATGTTTCGATTGGGGAACTAGAAAGTAGGTCAAGTAAAATGTATAAATGTAATAGCGGTAAAAGAAAAAGATCATTTAATTACTTTAAAGTAACTGTGATATATGACGAAACAAAATCTCAAAAAATATAAATGATTTTAACCTTACAATAAATTATAAAAATCTTATACATAAAAAAAATAAAAATACCAACAAAAAATTATATATAAAAAAAGTTAAGTAACAAAATAAACTTCTAAAACAAGAACCGTAGCTCCTCTAAATATTTGTAATCATTTGTTAAGAGACAAAAGTAAACAATTAAACACATTAAAAATTGCTGGAGTGTTATCTTGGAAAAAAAATTGTTTCTATAAACATTTTTAAACATTAATTGTATTAATCATTATTAAAGATTGTGTTTTAGTGATCTAAACCTATACTTCTAGTTTAGCTGTTTTTAAGTAGCCTATCATAAGTTTTGGCATTGGAAACTAGGAATTTCTATATGCTTAAATTTTTTTAAATGTATAAATGAATACCAAAGCTTGTGCAGCTCTGCCAGTAATCACATCTGCATTACATCTGTAAGAAATCACATGGAATTAAAACAAAACACTCCATTTGTCCACTACTTACTTCCTGTGTCTCAGATGAACAATGCAGGATTTGCCTATAACACAACACAAGCTATGGCCCACAAGAAATATTTAGCAAAGACAGATAATACCTGGAGGTCTGTATCTCTAATATCTTAAGGGCCATTTCAAGTAAAAATCAGTCACTGCTGAGATGAGCAGCAGACCTGAATGTTAAATGTGCATCACCAGCTCTGACAACATCTGGGGATAGTTCTGTTCCATGCTAAGGGAGGGCAGTGTCACTGTTTTGTCTCCTTCTTTGAAGGTGATGAGCTGCAACGAAGTGTTGCCTCCCCCTGAATGTTTGGACCCCTCCAGGGTCAGCTGAGGAAATATTTTCTCAGTCACAGCATCCACCATGTAGGGATCATTGCCCAAGAAAAGTCCTTTGGTGTTACTTTTAGGAACTAATTTACGTGACCTGATTAAAAAATAAAAAAATAGCATAGAAACAGATATAAGGCTAACTTCAATTTAAAGAGCGTCTTCTAATAAGTCTAATAGAAAACTGCCGTACTCAAATACAATCAAGATATGCTAGTCTTACTTATAAGTCAAATAGAAAACTGATGTACTCAAATACAATCAAGATATGCGTCTACCTTATTTTAACTTACTTGGGCTGGGCTCTTGTCTTGGTGACTGGTTGTGTTTTAGTTTTTTCTTCACTGATACATTCAAACAGTTGAAACAAAAGGTCAGTGTTGGCCACTGTCAACTTCCGGTCGGGAATCTGCGAAGTTTTTCTCGTGGTGTCCTTCTCTTCTGGGGGTGTGACTGGGCGCTCATCTGGAGATAAGAAAGAACGAGAGGTGTCATAAACACACACGCACACACACACAATTAATTTGTAGATCTTAGACACTGAAGTATACTTTTTCAATGGTCTCTTTTTGTGGCGTATTCATGGGGTAACCTCATTCTAATCATGGGGTAACCTCATTCTAATCATGGGGTAACCTCATTCAAATCATGGGGTAACATCATTCGGAATAAAAATAAAAATAGAAAGATGAGTTTAGATCTTGGTCTTGTTTGCATACATTAATCTAAAATGGCTGTCAAGTACAAGCTGAGTTTACGTTCCAGATTAGACTATTGTATGCAGTAAGTTTCATTGATATTTAAGGGCCACTCTATGCTTGAACCGTTCACTATCCCCATTAAACTCCTCCTAATGACGTCCAGGAATATTCATTATCTCCAAGCTCGTGGCGTTAGGTCCCTTATG